ATGTTTACCCAACTTGGGGGATCTAGCTCTCTGCCTGCTGAGGAGTCCAGCCCCCTGCCTGCCAAGGAATCCAATGTTATCCCAACTGGGGAATCTAGCTCTCTGCCTGCTGAGGAATCCAATGTTATCCCAGGTGGAGAATCTAGCTCTCTGCCTGCTGAGGAGTCCAGCCCCCTGCTTGCCAAGGAGTCCAGCGCTATCCCAGCTGGGGAATCTAGCTCTCATCCTGATGGGGAGTCCAGCCCTCTCCCTGCTCAGTCTAGCCCCCACCCATTTGCATAATTCAGTGCGCTCCCAGCTGTGGATTCCAGCCCTCTCGCCGTTGAGCAGTCAGGCACTTTGCCTGCTGAAGTTGTTAGGAAGAAGCTGACTCAGTCCAGTCCCCACCCTACTGAGGTGTCCAGACCTCACATAGTTGCAGAATCCAGCACTCTCCCATCAATCTCAGGGGGCAAGTTGACTGGGTCCAGCCCCCATCCAGTTGTGGAGTCCAGTGCTCTCCCCACCCAGGAGTCTAGTCCCTACCCTGCCAAGGAGTCCATCCCTCAATGTGTCATTACCTGCCTGCTTCAACCAAGATGTGCTTATGCACTGAAGTCTTTTAGTAGATTTGTTCATCTCTAAATGTGGCGTTTTCACGTCTTGTTTCAAGTCAATAAAACCAGTTATTTTTCTGGTAAAATTTCGTTTGACTTTTGCATTTGCACAATCTATCCTAACAGACAACGGTTATGCAGCCTCTACCTTCCTGTGTTCCAGCTAAGTTTAGAACTATTCCACCAAGGTGGTAAAATTATGGCATTAGTGTTGGTTTAAAAAAAAAAAAAAAGAGAATTAAGCTTTGCAGCTGGATTTTTCTAAAACCGTGCAGTAGTTCCTTTTTTTTTATTGATCGCAAATGTTTTCTTTGAGCCTTTATTCATGAACCTCTCCGTATTTAAAAACTGCCTGTGTAAGGATGGGCACAGTTCTGTTTTTAAAGTAGTTAGGTTTGCGTCTTGCATGTCTTCGTGCAGTGTCAACTTTCACCACCTGGACTTTACCAAACTTTTGGGGTTAAGCAAATTCTAGGGCTCAAAAATATTAGGCTAGTTTTATTCATAAAACCTTGAAGTTGACAGTGGTTTTGCACCATTCAAATGTGGTAATATCTGAAATTTCAAAAGGCGTTGGTCCTATTCTCCAAATAAAGTTGAGTGTCTTCACAGTGATGTTTTTGGTGATTGCAGGATGAAAGTTGCTTAGGTTAGGTACACTTTTTTTTTTTTTTTGTCCCTGAGGGAAATTTGTCTTAGGCTCAGAAATACAACCACCACATCACATACAACACATAGTAAAGAATAAAAAAAAGAATTATAAATATATATACACATAGATACACAACACAGTAAAACATACCATTTAAACAAAATAAAAATAAGTAATCAAATAACCTTACCTAGTGTTATGAAAGTTGCTTAGGTTAGGTTCCCTTTTTTTTTTTTTTTGTCCCTGAGGGAAATTTGTCTTAGGCTCAGAAATACAACCACCACATCACATACAACACATAGTAAAGAATAAAAAAAAGAATTATAAATATATATACACATAGATACACAACACAGTAAAACATACCATTTAAACAAAATAAAAATAAGTAATCAAATAACCTTACCTAGTGTTATTTAATAACTTAATTGCAGAAGGAATAAATGAATTCTTGTACTGATTCAATCTACATCTTTGAATTCTTAATCTCCTACCTGACGGCAGCGTCACAAACTCAGTTCAAAATGTGTTGTATCATGCAGAATCTTATCTGCCTCGCTCAGCATAGACTTTTCATATAGAGTCTGGAGATAAAGAGGTTCTATCATGCCCAAGATTTTCATGGCTGTTTGAATAAAACGTCCAAGCCTTGATTTCATCTGTACCGTCAGATTACCATACCAAAGGTGTATACCGTATCTGATCACATCCTCTAGTACAGCTTGGTAAAACAACATCATAATCTTGCTACTGACACCATACAATCTCTGGCTTCTCAAAAAATACATCCTTTGTTGTAGCCTAATACATACGCTTTCAACATGAACATGCCATGTAAGAGAGCAGTCAAGAAAAACACCAAGATATTTATATGAGGACACCTGTGCGATT